TGGAACTCACTATGTAGACCAGGCTGGCCTTGAACTCACAGAGATCCCCCTGCCTCTGCCTCCCAAGTGCTGGGATTAAAGGCTGCGCTTTGACTTTTTGAAATGCACTCATTTGAGAGAAGAAAAGGTTAAGAGGAAAAAAGGAACAAGGTGATAGATGAATAGTTTGGTGTGGATCTCAGAGTGCTGCTGTTTGAGGAGTAGCAGTCCATCCCCGAAGTCAATAGGACAGTCCCTCTGAAGACCTCAGAGTGGGCTCAGAGTCCAGGCTGTGGGAGCAGATGAATTCTTCACAGTGGAACATGGCAGCTAGGTTAGAGTAACCGGATTCTGATAACTAGGAACTTGCAGTTGAATTTAGAGAAAAGAAAAAGAGAACTGATGGGGGGACAGGGGTCTCAGAGAAGAGGGAAGACGGGCATTTGAGGGGAGTTTCCTGTTGTTGTGTTTAATTGCTGTTATTCTTTTAGACTTGAAGATAACTGGCCAAAGAATTGACCACCTAAAATCTATGTTCCACCCAGATAAAACAGGTCCTAGTGATAAACATATTCCTATCCATGTAGAACAGAAGAATTTAGTGGTGACCCACTGCCACAGTCTACCCAGGACTCGGGGAAGGACACAAGACATTCAGACTTTCATTTAAAAATTGGAAGAGTGTGGTCATCCCACCGCCTCTACCAGCCAGGCAATCAGATCTCCTGCCAGGTCTGCACTTTAAGGGACACCACTCTACCCTGTCCCTAAACATGATGTTGCTCATGGTCCCAGAAAGATTCACAGAGAAAGATGTGGTGTCTACCTGGAACCCGATGTCCTGCACCTAATAATGTGCTTTCAGGACTGACCTTCTCAATCAGGCTCTGTAAGCACCAGGGTGTCCCAACCCTGAAAATGTTGGGATAGCCTAGATTTTGCTACAAAGCTTTGGAGTTGGAATTTTACTGTGGAAGCCCTCCAACATCTCTTTAAGGAATATCATAAATGCATGTAAGCTTACAAAGAACAAAAAAGAATAAATTCTAAATCAGGTAGTAGTTAACTAAGGAGATCAAAATGTATGATTCTAATCCTAGAGGGAAAAATACTTATGAAAAACTTAGTCTCTATTAAGCAAAGATATGCATGATAGTATGCATACCTTTAAAAAAATCATTAAAACCCTTGGGAGATAACTCAGTGGATAAGAGCACTTGCTGTGCACGCATAAAGACCTGGGTTCAGATTCCCAGCACCAACAAAAAATGTTTGGCATAACCCTGCACATGCCTATAAGTTCAGTGCCTTGGAGACTGGAGACAGGAGGATCACTAGGGCATGCTAGGTGATAGCCTAGCTCCAGTTTCAAGGAGAGGGCCTGTCTCAAGAGAATAAAGTGTAATTTAAGAAAACAGAACATCTGATGTCCTCCTTTGGTCTTTGTACATACACAAATGAATGCATGCCTACCCCCACACACCTGCACATATACCACAAACACACACACACACACACACACACACATAAACCCAAAAGTCATGAGTGTTCCTTAAAATGTACATATGATGCAAAATATGAACAATAAAGGCAATTTGATGTGGGGTATACAGTAAATCTCTGTATATCTTTGCAATTTTTCAATAAACCTAAGAGTATCCAAAATGTTTTTAAAATAATATAGAAAGTAACATACGTATCATAATAAAGTGAAAAATTATGGAGTCCATATATGATACATTTCAGTCTAAAATATTATAGTCTAAAAACAATCACCAGAGAGAAAATGTACATAAAATAGCTAAGTGTTGCTAAATCTGAACATGAAGGATGTAAAATACTTTCAGGGTAAAAATCTTGTTCTCATGATTTATAAACAGTTTTATCTAAACTTCTATTTTTATTTTGTATCATTTAGCAATATGCTTGCTTGTTCAGTTTTTCTTATTTCTTCTTGAGTTCTAAGTCGCCTTTGAAATGAAAGCTCTTGGTTAACTTACTCTATATATCTTACTATTGATTATGAGACCATGTGCCAGTGGATTACCATAAAATCCATCACATATTGTGAAACGATTTGACTCAGAAATGAACAAATCTTAGTAAGGGGAACAATTATATTTTTTAAAGATTTTAATCCTTTGTTAGTTTTCAGAGTAATGGATTATATTTCGTTCAGTTTTGTTCTTGTGTTTGTTTCTTTAATTTTTTATTTATTATTTTTATTTTATATGTATGCATGTATTGCCTGCATGTAGGTAAGTGCACCTGTGTCATGCAATGCCTGCAGAGGTCAGAAGAGGCTGTTGGATCCCCTGGGAGTAGAGTTATGGACAGTTGTTAGCTGCCATGTGGGTGCTGGGATTTCAACCCGGGTCTTCTGCAAGAACAACCAGTGTTCTTAACTGCTGAGCCATCTCTCCAGCCCTGTGTTTGTTTCTTTTACTTTTTTTTAAAATTTTCAAATTAAGTGTGTGTGTGTGTGTGTGTGTGTGTGTGTGTGTGTGTGTGCACACACACACACACACACACACACACGAGACAAGAGGGGGGGGGGACCCCCCGGCGTGCGGAGGGATGTATAGAGAGAGATGAGCGCGGTGTGGGGGCCACAGAGGCCAGAAGAGGGTTGTTGGATCCCCTGGAGCCTGGAGTTGGATTTATAGACAGTTGTGAGCGGTCTGAGGTGGGTGCAGGAAACCGAAGTCAGGTCCTCTACCACAGCAGAAGACACTGTGACCTGCTAAGCCATCTCTCCAGACTTTTGTTTTTGTTTCTCTTTGCTTTGCTTTGCTGTATGTGTGTGTGTGTGTGTGTGTGTGTGTGTGTGTGTGTGTGTGTGTAACTTCTGGTGAACTGAGCTATGTGGTTACAAAACTTCTTAGAAAATAATTTGTATTTTCTTGGTAATGAATGAAGACTAGGCTACATCTCCCATATTCAAAAATGATTCTAAAACCAACTAATAAACCTCAATGCAAAAACAACAAAACAATGACAGTATAGGAAATATCATGTCACAGCTAAGTTTTAATACCAATAAGTTTAAAACTGCACTTCTAACGTCAAAGAATATTTCACTTTAATTTTCAGTTATAAGGATTTGTTCTCATTTCTCAAGTTTCCTTTTTCAAGCTTTTAGTTTAATCAGACATCCATGGGACTGGTAAATGTGCCGTTCATTCTTGCCCTCCAAGGAAGATGCCCTAATGTTGCCGGCTGTGTCCTGGTTTGATGACATGTACCAGTGTATTTGTTTTTCTTTAGCAAATATGTTGCTATGAGTAATCAAGTTAATTTATTTGTTCGTTGACATAATATTGCTTTTTGTATTGGGCAGCAGGGAAGTAGTAAAGATGTTCTAGGGCAGCAAAGAGGCAGATCGCAAAAATATCTCAGCAAAATCAACCCATAAAATCAGAAGACAATATACAGAGGCTACTTAACACTAGGAAAGTGTGACAAGGTTTAAAGATAAGAACTGAAGAAAGTGAGCTACTTAAAATAAATCTCATTGCAGAAACTGTAAACGTAAGTAAGTCTGCCTTGTAGAAATTCATTTTGGGTCATAATTTGTCCCTTTGATCCATCCAACATTCCCATGTTTAAAGAAGGTGAGGAATTATCCCACTGGCTACAGCAGAAGGTCATCTCCAAGCAGAGGAGTAGTGAATACAAACAGTCCAGTTGCCCATATGGTCTGCCTCTGTTTCTTACCTCCAAAGTAATAGATGCCACCTGAATAAATCTGTTCCGGCCCCAGCCACAGAGAAGCAGAGGTGACATGGCCGTCCACAACCACACTCAAATGATTCCTTTTAGCAGATAAGGACACTGAATGCCACTGGCCATCATCTAATCCAGCACCTGGAAGAGGAAACAGGTCAACAGCTCAACAGCGAACACTAAACAGTTGCTTAGGAACAGCAATGGACACTTGCCAATTGACCCCAATGTTTACATCTCCTGGAGTTCTACCTTCTCTGAGGGACACATTCCAAAACCCTTATAGATGCCTGAAACCCCATACATTCTACATATTTCCCTGAACATACTTAATTATGGTAAAGTACAACTTGTAAATTAGACACAATCAACAATTAGCAACAACAAATAATAATAAAATACGTTAAACAGGGAAATATACTGTGATAAACATTTAAGCCCCATTCTGGAATTTTCCATTTCATTTTCAGTCTACCATTGACCACAGGTAACTAATGCTAGGAAAGTAAAACTACAAATGAGGGGGTACTGTTCCATTTATGAAAAGGGAACTAAAAGGGCTGGACAGATGGCTCAGCAGTTAAAAGCACTGGCTGTTCTTGCAGAGGACCCAGGTTTGATTCCCAGAACCCACATGGTGGCTAACAACCACCATAACTCCAGTTCCAGGGAAATAAGACGCCCTCTTCTGACCTTCTCCAACATTGAACAAAATGGGTGCACATACATACATGCAGGCAATATTCTCATATACATAAAATAACAATTTTTTTTTAAAAAAGAAAAGGAAACTAAAAGGGAGACAGAAAATGGAGTCAGGAGGAAATCCAGTTTCATGCTCAGAATGATGTGGTGCTTTCCTCCTTTCTTGGAATAAATACATTAAAACAAATTTCCCTACCCTAGATAACACTGGATTGTTAAACTCTTTACATTATTTGGCAAAAATGATTTTCAGCTTTCTTTGTAATTTCTCTTGTTCAGGGAAGAATTAGTGAAGAGTATTCACATTTCACCAAACTCTGAGCTGTACTCAATAGCATGTTATCCCTACTTCAGAGCCTTTCCTATAGTTGTCTTTGAATATCATAATAAAATATAGCAAACTCTTAGCAGCAGCTAAGAATTTGAGTTGGCCTGTACACATTCCCTGCTAAAGTCAAATAAAACAGTGCTGTCCCCTATCATTTCAACTCAGATGCTAAACACATTTGGGGGGGCTTCTATAAATGTGGTAGAGCTTTCATTGTTTAAATTGACTCCCTGCCAAGTATGAAGGATGTGCCTGTGATCCTACCCCTTAGGAGGATGAGACAGGTAGATCATGATTCTGATGCCAGCCTGGGCTACACAATTGGTAGGGGAGCCACCCTTACTGGAACTGACTACATCTTCAAAGTCCGTGCATTCACACACAGGCAGTCACTAAGTAGACTCAGTGGGTTTATGTTGTTGGGAATGAAAAGTGGAGGTAGGGGGACAGGAGGGAAATTGGAGGGAAGGGAATGGGGAATGCGGGGGAAGATTTAATCAAAATACATTATACGCATGTATGAGATTCTCAAGCATTAAAAAATAAAAGAAACAATGTACTGTGCACTAAATATCTTTCAACAGAAACACAGAATAAGATTATACATAAGAAAAAACATTTTGTGACCAGAAGCTCACAGAAACCTAACCAGGAATAACCTTCCTATATGCTCTAATTTAGTGTCACAGGAACTTTATGCACTAAAACTATCACAAATAAATAATT